CATTGTTGGCGCGGGGCCCCCCCCCGCCCCCCGCCGGCCGGGGGCCGCGGGCCCCCCGCCATGCAGCCCGTGCTGGGGGTCCTGCTCGCCCTGGCCGCGGCCCTCGGCTCAGGTAGGGCCCCGGGCTGGGCCGCCATGGGGCTGCCGTGGGGCTGGAGGGCGTGGGGCGCCGCGGGGCCACTGTCCTGCCCCGCGGCTGAGGGGGGAGCAGGAACCGGGGGGCTGCAGCGGGTGCCGAGCGCCCTGTAGGGCAGGGACACCCCTGCTCCATGGGACACGGATCCCACACTCCGTAGCGCAGAGATCCCGCGCTCCATGGGGCAGCACGCCCCCTGCTCCGTGGGGCAGGGATCCCACGCTCCATGGGGCCCCGGGTGCCCCCGGTGTGCCCCCACGGGCACGCTGAGCTCCTGTCGCACTCCCCAGGCCACCGCTCGCCCCTCAATGACTTCCAGCGCCTGCGAGCCACCGAGCTACTGGCAGTGCCTGCGGACCCACCGCCGCCGCTGCCGGAGCGGGGCTCCGCAGAGCAGTGTGCCCAGCGCTGTGCCGCCAGCCTGGCTTGCCGGTGAGTGGGACGTGGCAGCGCCGCGGGGTGGGTGGGAGCGCAGGGGGCCATGACACCAGGGTCACTCCATGCCTGTGGATGCTGGGTGCCCATATGTGCGCTCCCCTGGGTCCCGCGGGCCCTGGCCCCGCAGGGTGCCCTGCCAGGCTCCCGCTGTGCCTCCCAGGGCTTTCCACCACGACCGGCAGAGCCAGCTGTGCCAGCTGCTGCCCTGGACCCAGCACTCACCCCGCGTCCAGCTGCAGAAAAACATCCGCTACGACCTGTACCAGAAGAAAGGTGGGCTGGTGCCATGGGTGGGCGTGGGGACACCACAGACTGGGCACAGGGCTCCCTACTGCCCCTGTGCCCTGGCTCTGCTCAGCCCTGGGGTTCTGATGCGGTCCCCGGCTCTGCCCAGACTACCTGCGGGACTGCATTGTGGCCGATGGCACCAGCTACCGCGGCACGCGGGCCACGACAGAGAAGGGTCTACGCTGTCAGCACTGGCAAGCCACAACACCCCACGACCACAGGTGCCCCCGTGTCCCTGGCTGCCTGTGGCACCCACCGGTAGCCCTGGGCAGTGTGGGGCAACGGGGAACGGGCTGGGGACAGTGTGGGGGCAATGCGGAGAGCACAGGGGCAATGGGGAGAGCACAGGGGCAATGGCACCGACCAGGGGTGTCGCTGTGTTGCGGCTGTGCTGGCCCGAGGGCGAGGGGCTCCTGGCAGCGCTCCTACCTGTCCCGCTGCCAGCAGGTTCCTGCCGTCCCCCCGCAATGGGCTGGAGGAGAATTACTGCCGAAACCCTGACCAGGACAAGCGGGGCCCATGGTGTTACACCGTCGACCCCAAAATCCGGCACCAGAGCTGCGGCATCAAGAAGTGCGAGGACGGTGAGTGCCACAGCCCGGGGGTGCCCTGTGCTGTGTCCCCACCTCCCCACTGAGCCCCTCAGCTGTCGGCAGCCGTCTGCATGACCTGCAATGGGGAGGACTACCGTGGCACCATGGACCACACCGAGTCAGGGATGGAGTGCCAGCGCTGGGACCTGCAGCACCCACACAAGCACCCCTACCACCCTGACAAGTACTGGTCCCCAGTCCCGGGCAGTGCACGGCCGCCCCAGCCATGCCATGTACCAGGGCAGTGATGACACCTTCAAACGCTGCTCCCTGTCTCTGGCCCAGGTACCCTGACAAGGGGCTGGATGACAACTACTGCCGCAACCCCGACAGCTCTGAGCGGCCCTGGTGCTACACCACTGACCCTGGACGGGAGCGCGAGTACTGCCGCATCCGTGTCTGCAGTAAGTCCCCACTGATGTTGCCATGTGGCTGGGACCAGGGGTCCCAGGTGCCATCCTAACCCTGCTGCTCTGCCCCTCTCCGGCCATGCAAGCAGAGAAACGCCCGCGGTCCCTCAACATCACCACTGGCTGCTTCAGGGGCAAGGGTGAAGGCTACCGAGGCCGAGTGAACGTCACCGTGTCGGGGATCCCCTGCCAGCGCTGGGATGCCCAGACGCCTCACCAGCACCACTTCATGCCTGAGAAGTACCCATGCAAGTAAGGGGGTGGGGGAGATGCACCTGGGGAGGGCAGCGGTGGGCAGCACCCATGGATGTGGGCTGGGGCGAGGGGCACCCACGCCGCCCCCTGCCAGGGATCTGCAGGAGAACTACTGCCGCAACCCTGACGGCTCAGAGGCACCGTGGTGCTTCACCGCCCACCCCACTGTCCGTATCGCCTTCTGCTTCCACATCCGCCGCTGCCCTGACGAGCTGGGCGCCCAAGGTGAGCTGCCCCCAGGCACCCACCCCCGGGGTGCTTGCCAGGGGTGCCAGCCCTCCCTGCCTGTCCCCAGAGTGCTACCACGGCCACGGCGAGCGCTACCACGGCCACGTCAGCAAGACACGCAAGGGCATCACCTGCCAGCCATGGGCTGCCCAGGCGCCCCACGTGCCCCAGTGAGTGTGCGAGGGAGCGTGCTGGGGGGGCAGTGTGTGCGGATGGGGATGGAGATGGTGACGGGGATGGTGACCTTCTCCCGGCAGGATCTCGCCCGTCACCCACCCTGAGGCACACCTGGAGGAGAACTACTGCCGCAACCCCGATAATGATAGCCATGGCCCCTGGTGCTACACCATGGACCCCCGTACCCCTTTTGACTACTGTGCCGTCAAGCCCTGCTGTGAGCCCGCACCCGCACCCCTGCAGAGCTAGGGAGGTCCCTGGCCACCCCCTGGGGTGGTTTTGGTTCCCCCAGGGTGGTTGGGTCCCACCCCAATGCCATGCTCTGCTTTCTCTCCGCAGCCAGCAGCATGGTGCCCTCCGTCCTGGAGAACGCAGGTGGGGCCCGCGGGTGCCGGGTGGGTGCCGTGGGGTGGCTGCTGGCAGCACAGCCCCAGCTGATGCCCACCCTGCCCGCAGATGCAGTGGCATTTGAGCGGTGCGGCCGGCGGGACGAGAGGCTGCAGCGGAAAGGGCGCATCGTCGGCGGCCAGCCTGGTAACTCGCCCTGGACTGTTAGCATCCGCAACCGGTGAGTGGGCACCCTGCCTGCACCTCCATGTGTCCAGTGTCCCCCCCAGGAGCTCATCCCCCTGTCCCCACAGGGCCGGCGTGCACTTCTGCGGGGGGTCCCTGGTGAAGGAGCAGTGGGTGATCAGCACACGCCAGTGCTTCTCCTCCTGGTAAGGCTGGGGCTGGGGCGGGTGGTGCAGGGAGCCACCCACACCCTCATGTCCCCATCCCTCAGTGGCGCCGACCTGGCGGGCTACAAGGTGCAGCTGGGGACGCTCTTCAAGGACCCCGGCCCTGGGGACCCTGTCCAGCAGACCATTCCCATCACGCGGATTGTCTGCGGCCCCTCTGAGTCCCAGCTGGTGATGCTGAAGCTGGCGAGGTGAGCGGCTGTGCCCTGGCCCATGCCATGCCCCACTGCTGGCCAGGCTGGCACCACATCCCGTCCCGCCTCTCGCCACAGGCCGGCCACCTTGAACAGGCGCGTGGCCCTGATCTGCCTGCCGCCTGAGCGCTATGTCGTGCCCGCGGGCACCATCTGCGAGATCGCTGGCTGGGGGGAAACCAGAGGTACCCACCGCGGGCAGCCCCTGCCAGGGCATCCCCTGCGATGGCATCCCCTGCCCAACACATCCCTTGCCCATGCCATTCTCTTGCAATGGCATCCCCCTGCCCACAGCATCCCCATGTCCATGGCATCCCCCTGCCTGCAGCATCCCTGGGTCCCTGCTATCTCCCTGCCCACAGCATCCCCTGCCCATGGTATCCCCTGCCCACAGTACCTCCTGTGAGGGTACTCCCCCTGCAAAGGCGTCACCCTGCATGCTGTGTGCCCCCACCCACAGCATCCAGCCACCCATGGCACCCCCTGCCACAGCATCCCCCTGCCTACGGCACCCCGCTGCCTGTGCCATCCCCCTGCCACGGCATTCCCTGTCCATGCATCCCTTGCCTGCTGCCCCATCTGCTCGCTGCCTGCAGGCACGGCAGACGGCAGCGTGCTGAACGTGGCGCGGCTGCCAGTGCTGGCCCATGGTGAGTGCAACACGGCGCTGCGCGGGCGCCTGAAGGAGGGCGAGCTGTGCACTGCCCCACTGCGTGCCGGCGTGGGGGCCTGTGAGGTGAGCTGGGCCGGGGACTGCTGCCTGGGGGAGCCTGCGGGCACTGGCACTGTGGTGACGCTGCTCTCTGGGTGCCGCAGGGAGATTATGGAGGGCCACTGGCCTGCCTCACCGCTGACTGCTGGGTGCTGGAGGGGGTGATCACCCCGTCCCGCGTCTGCGCCCGCACCGACCAGCCCGCCCTCTTCATCCGCGTCTCCCTCTACGTCGACTGGATCCACAAGGTGATGAAGATGGGCTGAGCTGGCTCAGCCCCAGCTTGGTACAGCCACCAACGCGCAATAAAGGCTCAGCCCTGGCCATGGCAGTGGGCACTGCACAGGGTCTTGCACATTTATTTAGCGCCAAACCCCAATCCATGTCCCATCCTGCCCCTGGCTACACTCGCTCCATCCTCCTCTGGTCCTGGTGTCGTCCCTAGGGCCAGTGGTCACCCTGGGGCTGGCACAGCTGCAGGGTCACCACGGGCACTAGGGGCTGTGTTGGCCTGGCCCATCCTGCTGGGGCTGCCCTAGGTGCCAGAGGAGCCAGCGGGCGCAGTTCCCGAAGACGTCGGCCTCCGTCTCCACGCCGGCCAGCGCATGGCCGCCCTCCGGATACCACAGCAGCCTGCGGGGCAGGATGGGGGATGCTCAGCCAGTGCCCCGGGGCTCCCTGCCCACTCCCACCCCCCTGCACCCCACTCACCGCGTTGGCACACCCCTGGCCCGCAGCACTCTGTACAGCTCCAGTGCCTGCGTGGGGCTGACGCGCCGGTCCCGGGCGCCCACGCACAGCAGCACTGGTGTCCGCACCTGTGGCGCAGTCAGCAGTGGGTGCCCAGCACCCCGTGCTGAGCACCCCATACCCATCCTGCCCCTGCCTTACCTGCGCCGCCTGGGCGATGGGCGAGCGCAGCAGCATGGCGGCCACTTCCTCGGCGTGGGGCACCCGCTCGAAGGAGTAGGGCAGCCCCAGGGAGGCATAGCGCCTGCAGCATGGAGGTGCTGGTGGGTGCCGTGGGGATGTGGCACGGCACAGCATGGTACGGGGTGGCAGGGTGGCACTCACCAGTCGGGGATGTCGGAAGTGCCCAGCAGCGCAGGCAGGTTGGAGACGGGGCTGCGCAGGGCGCAGGCTTGGTAGCGCTCGGGCTCACGGGCGAGGAGGTGGAGGGCGATGAAGGCTCCATGGGAGCCAGCCAGCAGGGCCAGGCGGTGCGGGTCTAGGGGCTCGCTGCGCAGCACCTGCTCCACTGCCAGCTGCCACCGTGGGACACCCACCATCAGCACCCAAACATCAGCACCACCCTGGCAGCACCCCATCATCAGCACCCCCCAGCACTCCCCAGCCCAGCGCCCCTCACCTGGGTGTCCGCCACATCCTGCTCACCCACTTGGGAGAGCAGGGAACTGATGCTGGCCTGGCCGAAGCCCAGGGAGCCACGGTAGTTCACTGGGGAGATAGGGGCCATAGGTGTCATGTCCTTGGTGGAGGACGGGGCCACACATCCCTGGGCTCCCCAGCACTCACCTAGGAGCACGGCGAAGCCCAGCCGGCACAGTGCGGCCATGCTCGGGCGCCAGCGGGCATCAAAGACAGCGTGGGGGCCACCTGGGGCCAGCAAGGACATCACCTGGGGTGCCACCAGCACCACTAGGGCATCCCTGCTGTCCCCTCACTCACCATGGGGGCACACGACGAGGGGATGTGGTGCTGTGCTGTCCGGTGGGCTCAGCAGCAGGGCCTCGAAGGCCTGGGCACCTGTGCCAGGGCAGGGGTCTCACTCAGCACCCACCACCCCAGGCACCCAGCACCCTGCCCACCCCCCGCACCCGAGGGTCCCCAGCACCCAGGCAGTACCCAGGTGCGGTGGGGACCCCCGGGCGCTCACCGTGTGTGGCTGGGCTCTGCCTGCTGCAGGGTGGCCAGACTGTCAGGGTCTTCCAGGCGACACCGGGCACTGTTGGGGAATCCTCCACCGGCACCCAGTGGAGGGGCAGTTCCTGGCCTGACGGTGGCAGCACCGCCACCACCTGGGGATGGGCAGAGGGTGGCACCGGGCACCCCTGCCCCAGGGCAGCTGGCCCCTGCTGGGGTGTAATCGGCCCCAATGTGCCTGTGGTCCCAGTGTGCCGGTGTTCTGTCCCATACCATGCCATGCTGTGCTGTGCCGTCCCATGCATGGATGTGCCATGCTGTGCCTGATCATACTGGTCTGTGCCATGCTGTGCTGTCCTTGGCCATGCCATGCTGTACCTGGCCCTGGCACGCTGTGCCTGGCTGTGCCATGCCGTGCTGCACTGTGCCTTGCCACCCTGTGCCATGCCATGCTATGCTGGATCTGTGCCATGCAATGCTGGGCTGTATCGTGCCACACTGTCCTGAGCTGTGCCATGCCATGCCATGCCATATCACGCTTTGCCATGTGTATTGGGTTTGCGTGGCAAGGGGTGGCTTCTGTGAGAAGCTGCTAGAAGCTTCCCCCATGTCCGACAGAGTCAATGCCAGCCAGTTCCAAGACGGACCCATGTGAGAAGAACAACCCTGCAGACACCAAGGTCAGTGAAGAAGGAGGGGGAGGAGGTGCTCCAGGCGCCAGAGCAGAGATTCCCCTGCAGCCTGTGGTGAAGACCATGGTGAGGCAGGCTGTTCACCTGCAGCTCACGGAGGTCCATGGTGGAGCAGACATTCACCTGCAGCCTGTGGAGGACCCCATGCTGGAGCAAGGGGATGCACCCGAAGGAGGCTGTGACCCTATGGGAAGCCCGCACTGGAGCAGGCTCCGGGCAGGACCTGTGGCCCCATAGTGAGAGGAGCCCGTGCTGGAGCAGGTTTGCTGGCAGGGCTTGTGACCCTGCAGGGGACCCACGCTAGAGCAGTCTGTTCCTGAAGGACTGCGTCCTGTGGAAGGCACCCACGCTGGAGCAGTTCATGAAGAACTGCAGCCCGTGGGAAGGACCCACATTAGAGAAGTTCACGGAGGACTGTCTCCTGTGGGAGGGATCCCACGCTGGAGCAGGGGAAAAGTGTGAGGAGTCCTTTTTCCCCAAGTTGAGTCTGTTTTGCCTATGACATTAACTGGTGAGTGATCTCTCCCTGCCCTTATCTTGACTCACAAGCCTTTCATCATATTTTTCTCTCCCCTATCCAGCTGAGGAGAGAGCAATAGAGCGGCTTTGGTGGGACCCTGGCATTCAGCCAGGGACAACCCACCACACCACGGCATGCTGCACCATGCCATGCTGCATCGGGTCACGCCGTGCCATGCCATGCTATGCCTGACTGCACATTGCCATGCTGTGTTGTGCTGCGCCGCGCGGTGCCAGGGCTCTGCTCACCAGGCTGGGGGGGCGGTGCGGGGCGGAGCAGGAGGCCACCAGCAGGTCCCACTGGAGGGTAAGCAGCTCCCAGCACCCTTCAGGCAACCCTGGGGACAAAGAGGATGCTGGCACTCGCGGATGCTCGCTGGGGCACTGCGGGCGGCCCAGCGCCACATACCTGCCGTCAGGTTGGTGACAGTGGCCGCCTCCGTGTCCACGAGCAGCAAGTCCTGCGAGGAGTCAGAGCACAGGCAGCTGTGTCACCACGCGTCACGGGGGCCATGTCCCTGTCCCCTCGCCCCATCCTCAAGGCTCACTGTGCGGCTCCGCTGTGGGGTGCCCAGCACGGCTCGCCGGCTGTCAGCTGCCCAGCACCGCAGCGGCAGCGTCTCAGCGTAGAGCCCAGCAAAGGCTGTGAGCGGGACAGAGTGCTGGTGAGACAGAGCCACGGGCACATGGAGTGGGAGGGGTCCCAACCCCATGGCAGTGCCCAGCCCTGCCCGCCGCACCACACTCACCCTCTGTGGGCTCCTGTACCACGTCGAGCACCGTCACCGTCTGCCTTGTCTGCCAGGTGAGCTGGGGAGAGCCAGTGGTCAGGGACAGACCCCCACCGGGGAAAGTGAGGCAGGGAGACTGAGGGATGAGCCCACTCCCCTGCCCCAGCTGGGCATGGTGAGAGGCTGTGACATCCTGAGCTAGGTCCTGCGCTGGCAGCACAGTGTGGCACAGCTGTGCCCGGTGCCCGCAGGGCCCTGCTCACCATGCGCAGACGCAGGCACTGCCGGTGGGGCCCCCCCAGGTCTCCCTCCAGGTAGAGCAGGCGCCGGCCATTGGGGCTCAGCCGAGGGGAGCAGGCAGCACTGTGCTCGGCTGATAGCAGCTCTGCGGGTGGCAGGGGGTCAGCGCCCTGGGGACCCCCAAAACCCAGGGCACCCCCTGCGTCCCCGGTGCTCACCACAGAGCCCACTGGCCAGGTCCAAGTGGAAAATCCCTGACCTGGGGAGGAGGCGCGGGTCAGGCTGGAGCCCCGCGGCTGTCCTGAGCCCCTGCTGTGCCAGCACGGGGTGGACATCCTGGCACAGCGCTGGGTGCCCCGGGGAACCCACCTCCTGTTGGAGCAGGCTCTCAGCCCCAGGCGGAAGGGCTCATGCCACCAGCCCACAAACACCACACCGCAGTCATCTGGGGACCACAGGGCCTGTGCGACAGTTGGGCTCATCCCACAGCCCCAGGCTGGCCCCCCCAGGGCTCTCGCTGCACCCCGTCCTGACCTGGCCAGGGGAGAGATGCTCCGGGACACCCTCCAGCACTGAAAGGCTGCTGCTCTCCAGGTCCAGGGCACAGAGGACGGGCACGCTGCGGGTGCTCAGTGCCTCCCCCCAGTCCTCGCGGTACACGAACTGCTCACCCTGCGGCACAGCCCCGTCAGCCCCACAGTCGGTGGCCCCACACATGGGGGTCCATACATGGCACGCTCATGAGGGTGCACAGCATGCTCATGGGGCATGTGGCATTGTCACAGCATGCATGGCACACTCACAAGGTGCACAGTGTGCTCATGGGGCACATAGCATGCTCACAGGGTGCACGGCACACTTATGTGGTGCACAGACCACACTCATGGGGTGCGCAGCACACTCATGGGGCACATGGCACCCACCTCCTCATCTTTGTCCTCCTCCACTGGCCTGGCTGCTCCTGGCACATCCCAGGGGCAGGGGGGCCGTGGTTTGGGCCAGTTCTTCTCGGCCACGTAGAGCAGCCGCGTCTCTGAGCGGGACCAGGCCAGACAGGCAAAGGGCCCTGGTATGGTAAGAGGGTGCCAAAGCCCAGCCTGGCACGAGCACAGCTGCACACCAGGCAGGCACTGGAGCTGCTGGCTGTGCTGCCCTTGCCTGTGTTACGGGGAGGGGGCATGGGAAAGGGGCCCTACCCTCTGTGTAGACTGCCCCGTGCTTCCCCAACGCCGTGAGGTCCACACTGTGGCTGCGCCCGCCGCTGCCCCACACCTGGGGGGACGAGGGTCAGCACTGGCACACCGTGGCTGCAGCACCCACCACCCTGCGCTGGCACTCCAGCCACCCTGGTGAGCCCCAAGGCTGCCATGACTGCGGCAGCCTGCGTTACCTCCAGCAGCTCGTGGCCCTGCTGTGGGCAGCGGCTGAGCACTGCGCGGTGCTGCCCCGTGGGTGAGTCCTGGCTGAGGAGCCTGCAGGCAGGAGGGAGGGAGGCTGCGGTAGGCAGCATGCTGCGGGCACTGGCCGTGCCATGGGCACCGGCCACACCACAGCCACGCCACCCCATCCCGCAGCCTGTCTGTGCTGTACTGGTTGTGGATCTCGGTGCTGAGCGCTGCCCGGCTGACGGCGAGGCCGCCACCGCCCGTGCGCCGCAGGCTGTAGTGGCGGGGGGGGGGGCGGGGGGGGGGGGGCGG